TCCAAAATCACTGCAGATGGTGACTGCAGCCATGAAATTAAAACATGCCTGGTCCTTGGAAGAAAAGCTATATTTTCTTCCAAAGCTAGACAGCATATTGAAAAGCAGAGACATTACTTTGTTGATAAAATTCTGTATAGTCAAAACTATGGTTTTTTCAGTAGTCATGTATGAATGTGAGAGCTGGCCTATAAAGAAAGCTGAGTGCCAAAGAACTGATGCTTTTGAACTGTGGTGTTGGAGAAGATTCTTGAAAGTCCCTTGGACTGCAAGGAGATCCAACCAATCCATGCTAAAGGAAATCAATCCTGACTATTCATTGGAAGTGTTGCAGGAAGGGGACCCCTTCCAGGGCCCGAAACTGGGCTCTTGTCTAACACTCAGAAATGAATTGTCCGAGGACACACCTGTGCTGAAAAAGCAACAGATTTTATCGGGAAAGGGCACCCGGGTGGAGAGCAGGAGGGTATGGGAACCCAGGAGAACTGCTCTGTCACATGGCTCACAGTCTTGGGTTTTATGGTGATGGGGTTAGTTTCCGGGTTGTCTTTAGCCAATCATTCTGACTCAGAGTCCTTCCTGGTGGTGCACGCCTTGTTCAGCCAAGATGGATGCCAGAGAGAAGGATTCTGGGAGGTGGTCGGACATGTGGTATCTCCATTTGACCTTTCCTGAACTCTTCTGGTTGGTGGAGGCTTATTAGTTCCCTGTTCCTTACCAGGACCTCCAGACGTAGAACAACTCAGGCAAATGGTTACTATGGTGCCTGGCCAGGGTGGGCGGTTTCTATCAGTGTGTTTCCCATAACAGAAGGAATGATGCTGCAGCTGAAGTTCCAATACTTTGGCCACCTGGTGTGAAGAGCCAGCTCATTAGAAAAGGCCCTGCTGCTGGGAAGAATTGAAGGCAGAGGAGAAGGGGACAAGAGAGGATGAGATGGTTGGATGGCATGACGGCTAAATGAAAAAGAGTTTGAGCAAGCTCCGGGAGATTGTGAAGGACATGGAAGCCTGGCCTGCTGCCCTGCAAAGAGTCGGACATGACTAAGCAACTGAACAGCAACAACAAGCCTTGTCTCTCCAGTGGAAACTCAAAGAAAGGCTTCCCCCACTCTCCTGCTCCTTGAGCACAAACTGGTGCTGTCCCCTGGGCCCTGCCCTGATGAGGGACCATGTATCCTTGGAAAAGGAAAGTAATAAAAGTCTCTTTTCAAAGGAATTTACTCTTTGGAGCATCACACAGTCACCTCCACAAATTAAAAGGTTAAAACCTTTGGGTGGGAATGAGACAGATTTAGAGTCAAGAATTTTCAGGGAGAAGCAGACAGTGATGTCCCCACGTCTGTCCTCTGGAAATGTGCTGGGAGAAGAGAGGGTTCTGAGCTCGCCAGATGAACTTTCTTTCTGCAGATCCTAATCCCTGCATCTCCAGGATCGCAGTGCTGGAGTTGGGGACAGCGTCCAGGGAGGGAGACCCTGGACACCAGCTCAGCTGTGCAGGGGAGTTGCTGTGAGCAACACAGAGCAGCTGGGGCACCTGGCTCTCTGAGACGAGAAGGGACGAGGTGTTCTGCAGAATCGAGGGTTTTGGGGAAAAACGCAGCGGGAGAGCTGGGGGAGGCTGAGGTCTCACCCTCCGGCCTTCCCAGGATCTATTAAATCTGTGCATATGTCTTTGTGTGTATCGCAGATGTGTGTGGTCTAGTGAATGGAGGTGGGGCGGGGTGGTGATTGTCTCCTTGCTCTTCCCATATCTGATCACACTCAAGTCCACACCTCACTCCTTGGAGGCGGTCCCAGGAGCAGGACCCAGGCCTGGAGGGGAGAAGTCCTGTCCTACCTGTGACATTTCTGAAGGAGAGGCTGATGCGGACGTTCCTCGGAGCATCTGGGGCAGAAAGACATGGGCTCGCTGCAGAGGGAGGAGTGGGGTGCAAACTGACCAGCACCCAGGACGGAAACCAGGAAGGGGGTGGTGTCCTTCACGCCCCTCCCCACCTCAGCTCCCAGGGCTCAGACCCATGGAAGAGCAGGCTGGCCTTCTCCCTACACACACACAGACACACCACTGCCCTCAGGGACTCAGGCACCCCTCCACACTCACAGGAGACTTTGAGCTGGATGGTTCTCTCCATGGTCACCTGAGATCCTTGGAGATTCACTCAACAGGTGAGGTCGGTGCTGTGGTCCTGGGTCTCGGGGTGGGGGTGAGCTGCAAGGAGTGGAGAGTCTCTGGGTGCAACAGCAGGGGTACCGTATCCACATCCTCCAGCCCAGGTCCAGGTGCCTCCGCCAGGGAGGAAGTGCCCCGAACGTGGGGAAGGAAGGAGGAAGCCCCAGCAGGAAGCCAGGAAGGCAGCAGGTGATGAAGATTGGCTGGTGAAGAAGGGGAAGGTGGACTCCATAGGCGGGGCTGGGGGATTCGATGAGAAGTCTCGCTGTTTCATGTTCTCCCTCCAACCCCTCCCCGCTCTGCCCTGCCGCAGGCTGCAGGGGAGAGCACGAAGTCCCCAGAGCTGGCGAGTTTTCACCAGATGTGACGTTGAAATGTTGTTGCTAACTCACCATGTTGTGTCCGACTCTGAGACCCCAGGGACTGTAGCCTGCCGGGCTTCTCAACCCAGGAATTTCCCAGGCAAGAATACTGGAGTGGGTTGCCATTCCCTTCTCCAGGGGATCTTCCCAAGCCAGGTACTGAACCCGCATCTTCCGCATTGCAGGCTGACTCTTTACCACCGAGATACCAGGGAAGCCCAGATGTGACATGATCACCTTCCGAATGATGTTCATGTTCACCATGGGATCACCCCATGAGCAGTGCAACCAGAAAAAGAGAAACAGGGTCCAGCTCCAGTCATCCGGCGGGACCCACCTGCAGCTGTAAAACACAGAATGTTCTGGAAAAGAATATTGAAAATTTTCTCAAAACCATTCCACTTCAGGCAGGAAAAAAGTTCCCAGACCCAAAAACAGTGGAGGATGGTGCCCAGGAAGAAAACTTGAGCATTAAAGCTCCTTTGCCCAGAAGGGTTCTCACAACATGGCACAGGCCTACGGGTCTTCGTGGACCTGAGGGTCTGTCGGACCAGCCCCTGGGCACAGGCCCATGCAAAATGAGGTGGCTGAAGTGAGAGCCTTGCCCCACTCACTGCGGGCCCCAGAAGCCTGGACTTCACAAGAATGGCCTTCAGGACCCCTCACACTGCAAAGCCACATGAAGGCTCAAGCCATATGTGGAAATAACCTGTGATCTCGATGCTCTTTAGGATTGATATTTCATAAAGGTTTCCTAAATTTGACAGTGCCCCTAAACATTTCACACCCTCCCATTAACTAGTTCTGGAAACAAACAAACAAACAAAAAGCTTTCTTTAATATTTATTTAGAAATACTCTGTTTGCATTTGTTACTTTCTTAAGTTATAAATTTCATAAAATTTCTTCAGAGAGAGGAAGGATCAATTGGGAGATTGGGATTGATAAATACACACTACTGTATCTAAAATAGATAATCAACAAGGACCAACAGTACAGCCCAGGGAACTATACCCTCAATCTTTTAAAAAACTATAATGGGAAGGAATCCGAGGAGAATATTCCTATATAACTGAATCACTTTGCTGTGCTGTGAAACTCACACAACGTTATAAATCAATTCTATTTTAATTTTTAAAAAGTCACATCCAGAATAAAGAACTCAAATTAATAAGAAAAGGACTGCCCAATTTTTATTTTTCAATGGGCAAAGATCCAAACAGGAATTTCACTAAAGAAGATATTCAAATGGCTCAACATCATTGCACATAAGGGAAATAAACTAAAAAGGCAAGGAGATACTGCCACAGTGGAGTGCAGTGCTGAAAGCTGAGCATGTAGGTAATACAAGTGCTGCTGAGGGTGTAGAAAGCTCAGAGCCCTCATGTATGACCATGAGATGTAAACTCATCTAACGACTCAAAAGAACTCTCTCAGGCTACCTTCTAGAACTAAATATATGCCAACTTTATGATGAAGCAGTTCCACATCCACCAGGAGAAAAGTGCTAGCCCTCCTATTTTCATCACACCATTCACATCAACATTACTTTGAATGAGCCGAAATTTGCAAACAAATGCAATGTCATCATATTTTAGAGTCCATACATAACTGAGGAATAGTCATATGTAAAATACCATTTTCAAGACAAAAACCAAGCAAAACCAACAATGAATTATTGATACTTGCAAAACCATGAGTAACCTCATACTAGGCGAGGTAAGTCAGAAAGTCTCCTTTCAATGGTCTTGACTCTTCCTTCTGTCACAAGTCATTTCTACAAAAAAAGGCTCGTGGATGCAAACGACACAGGGTTGGAGGTAAGAGTTTCCAGGGAGAAGCAGACAGTGATGTCCCCACATCTGTCCTCTGGGCTCTGCATCCTCAGGTGAATCTCGTCATAACAGGGATCGAGGCGCAGCCATACCGCTCAGCCCAGCTCCCTAGTGGCCAGCACACCTGCAGAGCCAACGCGGTCTCAGGTCAGAGAGTCAGACCCATTTCACTCATTCTGGGCTCTGCTTCATGGCATGTGGGATCTTAGTTCCCCAACCCGGGATCGAGCCCCTGCCCCCTGCAGTGGAAGCCCGGAGGCTGAACCACTGGACCGACTCGGAAGCCCCTGGAGAGTCACACACTTTAGCTCCAGGCAGGACAGGACCGCCCAGCCCCACTGACAACTCCGAGCCCTTCCCAGGACTTCCCCGCAGGGGGACAGGTGAGCTTACCTGGTGTAGTAGGTCCAGGTGAGGCCATAGGTGAGGAGGAAGCCAGCCCCCATGAGGGCCCCTCTGATCAGGGTGACGACCAGGGGCCAGGAGCCCTGCGGCTCCTCAGTCTCACAGCTGCAGGAAGGGGGGCCTTCTGGCGAAGGGAGAGGGGGTGAAGCTCAGTCCCCAGACCCAGCCCTCCCAAAGGCACACACCTGCCCCGGCTGCCCGCCCCCAGCACCTGTCCTGCAACTCACTCTGCACAGAGAGGCTGAAGGAAACTTGCTGGGAGCCCAGCGGGTGCTGAGCTCGGCAGGTGACTTCTCCTCCATCCCCGACCCCCATGCGGGGTATCTCCAAGACCCCTGTGCTGGAGATGGGGGTGGCCTCCAGGGCTGGGGACCCCTGGAACCAGCTCAGCTGTGCAGGGGGGTTGCTGTCAGCGACACACAGCAGCTGCATCGGCTGGCTCTCTGAGACGAGAAGGGACGAGGTGGCCTGCAGAATCTTCAGGGCTTTGGGGAAAGCGCAGCGGGAGAGCTAGGGGAGGCTGAGGTCTCCTCCTCCCTCCTTCCCAGGATCTCCTGGCCTCACTCTCTTCTCCCCATCCAGCCAGCTGGGTTCCCTGTGGTCCCAGGGCTGGACCTTCCCACCGTAAGGAGGCTGACGCAACGTGTCTGGGCCTTCTATCTTCATGGGAGGCTTGGTGTCTCAATGGGACAGGCCTGGGCTGTTTGGTGGAAAGAAAACCCAGAGCCTCAAGGCTTGAGAAGTTGATTCAGTGAAGGCAACAGGAGATGGGACTAAGGAGGCTTTTGTGGAAGAAAACCACATAATAAAACCATGGTGAAGGGAAATGGGCTTTGAACAGGGTGTGTGAGTGTGTAAATGTGTGGGGTGTATGTGTGTGTGCCTGTGTGTATGTGTGCATGAGTACACATGTGTATGTCCATGTGTCTATGTGTGCGTGATGGGTGCCTGAGCTGTGGGTATATCTCTGTGTATATGTGTGAATGTGTGATGTGTATGTGCCTGTGTGTATGGGCGTTTCTGTGCGTGTCTCAGTGTATGTTCATGTGTATGTACTGTATGTGTGTGTGCCTGTGTGTATGGGCGTTTCTGTGTGTGTCTCAGTGTATGTTCACATGCATGTACTGTATGTGTGTGTGTCTGTGTGTGTGAGTCTATGTGTGTATTGCATGTGTGTGTGGTCTAGTGCATGGGAGGTGGGGCGGGGTGGTGGTTGTCTCCTTGCTCTTCACACATCTGATCACACTCAAGCTCACCCCGCTGCCCCTTGGAGGCGGTCCCAGGGGCAGGACCCAGCCCTGGAGAGGAGAAGTCCTGTCCTACCTGTGACGTTTCTGAAGGAGAGGCTGATGCGGACGTTCCTCGGAGCATCTGGGGCAGAAAGACACGGGCTCGCTGCAGAGGGAGGAGTGGGGTGCACACTGACCAGCACCCAGGAGGGAAACCAGGAAGGGGGTGGTGTCCTTCACGGCCCTCCCCACCTCAGCTCCCAGGGCTCAGACCCATGGAAGAGCAGGCTGGCCTTCCCTCTGCACACACACACACACACACACACACTGCCCCCCGGGACCCCGCCGGCCCTCCACACTCACAGGAGACGTTGAGCCGCACGGTTGTCTCCAGGGTCACCTGTGCTTCCTGGAGTGTCACCCGACAGGTGAGGTTGGAGCCGTGGTCCTCGGGCCTGGGGGTGAGGGTGAGCTCCGAGGAGTGGAGGGTCCCTGGGTCCATCTCGTCAAGGGCGTCCCCCGCCCAGGAGAACAGGAAAGGGTGTCTCCCAGCACAGGCTACTGACAGGCTGCAGGTCAGCTGTGTGGGGCGGCCGGACTCCAGAGGCTCCACAAACTGGATGTCGGGTTTCTCTGTTGGGGCTAGGGGGAGACAGAGGCAGATGCATGGACGCAGGGGTATGGGCACCCAGAGGGCGACCCTCAGAGGGACCAGTGCCTCACGGCCACAGCTCAGCCCCGGTCCTGGGTCTCTCCTGAACCCTCAAAGCCCAGAACCTGGAGCAGCAAGGGCTCCTATACACTGTTCCTGTTCTAACACAGGCGCCTCCACGTGCCAGGGTCCTCTCCTGGGCCCCCTGTCATACCTGTCACCTGCAAATTCAGCTTCTTATCAAGGTAACTATATTTCTCATGAGGTTCTCTCTCCACTCGCAAGTAGTAGGCTCCTGAGTCGCTCAGCCTGGCCTCTTTGATGCTCAGGGAGCAGTCCTTGCGCCTGGGGTCACCGACGAGGCGGAATCGGCCCCGCGTCTCTGGCTTCACTGGTTTATTTCCGTCGTTTGTGGCCACAGCATCATTGTGTGGCTTGTCTTCTTCCCGGAACCAGTAGATGGAGGGCTCAACAGACCAATACCTCGAACTCCAGGGGTGGGAGAAGGAGCAGGACACGTGGACGTCCATGCACGCCTGCACCGTCACGGATTCCTGCACTCGGAGCTCGAACCCTGGAAGCTCCTGCAGGGACCCTGGGGACACAGAGGCTCAGCGGAAGCTCAAGCACCACCCCCCCCCGGACGCGTGAACCCCTCCCCCAGCCGTGACCCCGTCCCCCACCCCTCCCCCACTCACCCCCCCACAGCAGGGGCAGCAGCAGCAGGGGCACCATGTCGGCATCCGCCAGCACAGAGCCGCTTCAGGTCCCTCTGCTGGGGAGGGAAGCGCCCCGAATGTGGGGAGGGAACGAGGAAGCCCCAACAGGAAGCCAGAGGGTGACGGAGACAGAGCCGAGGGCAGGCACAGAAGGGGAACTTGGACGCCCCAGGCCGTGGAGGAGGGGCGGCCCTGGGAAAGCAGGAGGTCCCACCCCACACCCCATACCCCTCCCGCAGGGGGAGATCCTGAGGCCCCCAGAGGCCGAGAGGCTTCACCGCACGTGGCTCTGACATGCCCACCCGTCCAGTGATGCTCGGGCCACGGTGGGACCGCCCAGCGGCCGGCGCAACCAGGAAAGACAAACGGGGTCCAGCCCTGGTCCTCGGGTGGGACTGATCCTGCAACAGAGAAACGCTGGACTTTCTGGAAAAGAATATTGAATAATTTCTCACAACCGTTCATACTTGGGCTGGAAGAGTCACACACGGTGGAGGGTGGAACCCAGGAAGGAAAGCTGAGTGTGAAAAGCTCCTTTGCCCAGAGGGGTTTCAGAACAGGGCACACGGGCTGAGGATCTTCATGGATCTGAGGGTCTGTGGGACCAGCCGACCGGGACACAGGCCCACGCCAAATGGGGTGGTAAAGGAAGAATTTTGCCCCATTCAGCTGGGACCCTGAAGTCTAGACCTCACACAGAAACACCGTTCACGACCCCTCACTCTGGATGGCCTTCTTTTCAAAGCCACATGAAGGCTTAAGTCATGTGTGGAAACAACCTGTGAACTTACTGCCCTTTCGGGAAAAAATTCTTTAAGTTTCGCAAGTTTGACTATGAGCGTAAACGTTTAGACACTTTCAGAAACAAGCTGTGGGAGTGATGGGAAGTGTCTTTTATAGTTAGATAGAAATGTTAATGTATTGTTTACTTTCTTAAACTACAGAAACAGAAAGAAATGTCCATCAATCAATCGTGCCAGTGGAAATACTGTATCTTCTTTCTACTCTCTTTTAGATATAATATAATTAATAGTATTTCTTCATATAATGAGCTTCCCTGCTAGCTCAGATGGTAAAGAATCTGCCCTCAGTGCAGGAGACCAGGGTTCGATCCCTGGGTCAGGGAAATCCCCTGGAGAAGGGAATGGCAATGCACTCCAGTATTCTTGCTTGGGGAATTCCATGGACAGAAGACTCTTACACACTACAGTCCATGGGATCTCAAAGTCAGACAGGGCTGACTAACACTTTATTAGTATAACACTCATGTTAATTAATATACATGACAATTCCCCTAAAAAATGGCAATCAAAGTGGATCAGGTCATAAGTATGTGTAACAGGTGTTATGCAGGTGTGATACGGGTGCCTGACTCCTGAGAAAAATGGTATGGTGGCCCAGTGCTTAGGACTTCTTCACTCTCACTGCCTCTGGCTCAGGCTCAATCCCTGGTCTGGGAACTAAGACCTAGGTCCTAGGGTTTTCAGCCTAGGTTCATGGTTCAAAAAGAAAAAGGAAGAAAGAAAAATAGTCTGCAATGAATGTCTTATCTTTAGGTTTTCAGCATTTTATGTTTTGTGATTGATTACATAGGTTTCTCATTTCGAAGGAAACTTGGATGTGATGTGCCTGTGATAATGAGACTTTTAGGAAATATATATTATATTTTCGGCCTTCATCCACAGTTCCTGGCTCACAGATTCATGGATTGTTGGAATTCTCTGACTGATAACAGACATGGCCGCTTCTGTGTTCACACATTTGCTCTTTGTTCTCAGGCCCTGGAAACACTTCAGGGCCACACCAGACCTGGGGGTCACATTTTGTATTTGGGGGCCATGTCTGTACTGTATTCAGTGACACCATTGTTTTGCCGAAGGAGGGATCTGAACGCTTGAGTCAATGTCAGGCTCCACAGAACCCAGGCCCGGCCCTGCCCAGGGTCCAGGTGAACAAGCGGGGACGGGCTCTCCCCCTCGCTCCTCGGCTGTTGCGGGAACATTGCTGGACAAGCAGGCGCTGGAGAAGGCCGGGATCCGAGGGCCGTGCAGCACACCTCACAGCAGCCGGCGTATAGCAAAGGCCAAGCTGGGACGGTCAAAGAACAAGAAACAAGCGTGTTGGTGAGGACGTGGGGTAAAGGGATGCTTGGGCACTGCTGGTAGGAATTGAATTGGTGCAGCCACTATGGGAACGCTCTGCAGGTTCCTCAAAACTGAAATAGAACCGCAAGCACTTTCACTTCTGGGCCTTTAAAGAAAATGAAAACAGCAATTTGAAAAGATATATGCACTGCATGTTCTTGGAAGTGTTATGTACAGTAGCAAAGACATGGAAACAACATCCATATCCAATGATGAATGAATGAATAAAGAAACTGTGGTGTGTGCATACACGTGATTATCCTTCAGCTATAAAAGAGAAGGAAATCCTGCTTTTACAATACATTTATAGGCCAGGGCATTAGGGTAATGAAATATGTTAGACAGGAAAGAAAAGCACTGTATGATCTCGCAGGTAGGAAGAACTGGAAAAAATAAAATAAAATAAAGTCATAGATGTAGGGTAAGGGAGTTAGAGAAGGCGAGGTTCAGAAAAAGATCGAGGCCAGCACTTTACAAGAACAGATCACCTTTAATGAGGCGAGAAGGGGCAGCAGAGTAGTGAGCTGCTGCACTAACCCAAGAAAAGAGTGAGTATATATAGGCATAGATGTGGAAATCTACTGTCTTAAGGGGACCTGTTTTTCCCTAAGGTTGTTCGGAGTAGTTGTCTCTCAAACGGCTGGGGCAAGTCTTTTTTCTTCAGGTGAGAGAGTTCTCTGTTTTGCATAGAATGGTGGGGAGGACCTGGAGGGGAGTTTTAACTCCAGGCTATTTTGAGCCATGTAACCTTCCCTCATTTTAGACCCTAAGGAATATATATAAAAGCAGAAGGAGATGTGGGCAACATTAATGTTCAGGGTTTCTTCGAGCTGATAAATGAGGGTCAGGGGTTTGTGGTCTGGGAGGAGGGAAGTCTAAGGCCCGTAGTGTTGATTTTCTATTCTAGCCGTCAGGGTCTCAAGCAAAAGAAGAGTCTTGACTTGGTCTTGAGAGATGCCCCAAATCCGTTCTTGGAGAAGCCTTTGAAAGAGATTGAAGAGACCGTGCCAAATAAGAGGAATAAAATGATAAGTACCAATGGTCCCAAAAAAGGGAGCAACAAAAGGAAGGCCTGTTGGAACAGGTTTTGGGGAGTGTAACGTGGTCAATTTTGTCTCTAAGTTCTTTGACTCGGCCCTGGACTATGCCTGTTTCATTAACAAAATAGCAGCAGTCCTCTCCTAGGAAAAGGCAGGTCCCTCCGTTTTTTGAGGTGAGAAGGTCCAGGACTTACCTATTTTGTAGGGCCACAGAAGCTAATGAGTTAATTTGTCTTTGGACTGAAACAAAGGACTCCACTATCTACTCCATATCCTCATTAAGTTCTTGGGACAGCTTGTAGTAAAAATGGGCCAAGGTCGAGATGCCCGCAATCCCGGGGTCTAGGGCTGCTGCTGTGCCAGTCCCAATCAGGAGGGTGCCTATGACAGCTCATCTTTTTCTGTGGGAAAGTTCCCCTTGGGGGTAGGCTATTGGTTCTACCTCTTCTTCTTTGGGGAATGTTAGACCTGGGGTCAGGAAGACCAAGATGCAAGGTCCAGGGGGGCCTAAGGGGAGGCATGAATATGCATAGGTCCCTCAGAAAATGAAGATTCCTGGGTTGGTGAAATTATTTGTGCTGTTCCAG